CCGAAACTATATTCTGTAAGTCCGTTGATATCCGGTCAGTTCATATAACTCTTTCATCGTGTTATGCATAACTTGCTTTTCAATGTGCTCTTGCAGCGTAGCTGCAGTGTCTCCATCGGCTACTGGGCCGTTCTCTGAAACGCGTTCAATAGGCCCGCCGCATCCCAGTGCAAAGCTCAAGTTACTGGAAATAGTCTATGTACGTTCTTAATGGGCCCCTCAGGAAGCTTTTCTTATGAGACTTTAGAAAGGTTCCTCTACGGGTTGGTTTGGCACAGTTGAGCTCACATTCGAATACTTTGGAGGTAATCCGAATAGGCAGCAGATTTACATTCACAATGTACTGTACAAATTTAGCATGGCCCTTAGGGCTCAAAGATTTGGAGGTGACTCCAGTAATGGATGGCGATTTTTGTGAAAAAGCAGCTTTTAATCAAAGCGTACCTCTGCCCAACTATGTAGGTTATACGGTGTTTTTAGATAAAGATCTGGAGTGAACCTTTACAGGCTCAAGGTTCCCTTGGCACTGTAGTCGCTCGGGTAGATGCCGACGCCATGTATCGTAGATGTCACTATCTTTACTATGCGAAGGAAGTCAAGAGTAAACAATGCCGAACTCGATCATTTCCTACAGCCAAAGACTCGCAATCGATATTGTTGAGTGAGTTGCGACACAACCAATTCTCCTTTACTGTATCAGATTAGTCCATGAGTCTCACTTTAAAATATGTGAAGAATCGTCCTAAGAATAATCGTGAAAACTGACTGGGTTACTTCGCTTTGCTCGGTTTCTACCAACGTACGAGAAATTCGCCACCTCGTCCTGCCTTCACGATGTTTCGCTGTCCCATTTTCATATGCCAGCTGTTTGTCCCTACGTTTTTGTGACCAGCACACTACTTACCTCCCTCCTCTCTCCTATAATTTCCAGGCGCCTAGAACAGGCTGGCAATAAATCGATAGTATCGTAGTACGAATCTTTAGTATGAACCTTAAAGGCAGCGTCCCACCTAAATTGAGGTCGCGCGGATC